TCACTCCACTACATTTCAAAGTCAAATATCTTACTTTTTACTCCACAACCTTATGCGAAATCTGTCGCTCCTTTTGTGTATAAAAACGTAATATGTCAAAACAAAAGAAGCATAAAGCAAGCACACCAATCAGGGTACAGCTTTGTTTTGAGCTTGTTTTGTCCTGTTGGACATACCTACCCAGTGCAAGCATACAGTTCAAAATCAGTGCAGCAGCATAAAATTTTGGGAGTGCATATGCCAACATAAATGATGGAACTAACCTAACTTTGTGTAAATAGTCCACAATATAGAAATATGTACATATATGAAGTTGTGACTGGCATGTGTCCTTTTTCTGAATTTCTACAAACATTATTTCATTTTATAGTAAATTAGTTTTTGCTAGTTTATGTTTATGAACAGAGACCTACAGATGCAGTATAGTAAAGGAAAACTCATTTGTGAATCTGTGTTTAAAGCAAGTTTTCATTAAATTTAAACTTGTAACTAAGTTGCAAATAAATCTTAAACTGAAACTTTGCTTGTTTGTAAGTTATTTCACGGCCACTTGGTTCTACCTAATGGAAATCGTTTGCCTTCAGTGTTTTGTGTTTTTGATGATTTTAATAGACATCAGCACCTGACTAATTAATGACATTCTATTAAAAGATTGGTTTACCAAGAGTGACACTGAAGTATTTTCACCTAAAATGAGTTAATGAAGCGAGTCTTGTTACAAAAATAGTAATAGGACATTAGAGCCATAATCAATCTTTTAGTGCTTTTTACTTTTGATACTTAAGTACATTTGAGGGAAAAACTTTTGTACTTTTACTCAAGTGGAGGTCTAAAGAGAGGAACTTCTACTTTTACTGGAGTAAAATTTTACCTTGGGTATCTCTTCTTTAACTCAAGTACATGGTTTGTGTACTTTGTCCACCACTGACCAATAGGGAGAACAGTGCACATCCTGCTTGACCCCAAATTCCACCTATGCTGACATCTATTGGCTCATGTGCCACTGAATACATCTGCTTTATTGGCTCACTATCATGGGCGCATGTTTCCATGCACTGAAGCTGATTCATTAATCGTACTCAAGTCACAAGTCATGCGAAGGTTTTCTGAATCAGACGAGTAAGTCGTACGTCACTCAGGGCGGTCAAATCTGTGCTTGTTTCTATGGAACTTTAATGAATAAAGGCCATTGTTTACATACTACATCAAACTCTTCGTGTCAACACACAAACAGTAGGCCTTTCAACAGTAGAGCACATTGGAAGACAGCACAGATGGTGTTGACTTACCATGCATGTGACGTTAATAATCAAATACAGATGTGTGCTCAGTTATAGACGTGAACTGAGGTGGATGACTCTCCATCTGCCAGAGTAATAAGAAACTGTAAGTATAAGTTATTCACAGGTACACAGCACGTTACCCAAGCTAGACAGCACATATCTCTGTAAATGTGCTAACTATGACTGAATTGTAAAACTTTTATGCATTTCAAGTCAATCTGCAAGTATTTATTCAAGTGCAATCCCTAGACCATTATCATTTAATGCAATGTGGTATTCAGTGGCTCTGTTTTGACTGTATATTTAACGCAGCTTGATGAATTGTTTTCATCAGGCTGGGAGAAAGACTGATTGCCTCTGTAATGTTTAGCCATTTCTTACTGTCGTATTTGTCATAATGACAACAATGCGTTAACTCATTTTGGCATTACTGACAGGAGCACATTTCACAGGCCTCCTGCGTAGCATGCAGGTTATTTGTATATGCAATCTACCAATAACTGCTCCCTTGTTTTCTTCTCTGAGTAATTACCCCACCAAAGATTGTTTTGCATGTGAAAATGTTGCAACAACTGCACTGCAGCCAAAGTCATTAGGGGGAAAAAAGGATAAAACACCTCTACTGTAGCCAGCGTCTATGATGAATAGAGCAGTCTGAAAGTTTGTGGTCTATATGTGGTATTTTCCTCCACATATCACTTGTCAAACATTCCAGTATGTTCTCTGCTTCATATCACAACACGTTGACCTTTCCATTAAGCAATCCATGCCATATTGGGCAAACTGGTGAAATATGCAGGCTGTGGAAAAATCAAACAGATCATCTGTACATGTACAGTATAAAGAGAGGATTGATGGGTACATAAAACCCCCATTATCTGTTGACTGACAACCCACAAAAGGTCACAGATCTTTATATCAGACTACATGGACTCCAGCGTGCTCCGTGTTTCAAAAAGATTAGACTGAAATGGCAATAAGAAACTATTTACTGTCACACAATAATTATTAGTGCTAAAAACAACCTCCGCGGGGCAGGTTTGAAAATGAATATATGCAACTGCAAGACAGACTGAGGATTGTTAAAGATAGTAATTACTTGTGCCTACCAGGGGATCTTGTCTTTGTACCTGAGAGGCAGAAGATGAATTTCTGGAATTAATAGTCTGCGTAACATTTCCTTTTCCCTGCTATTGGAAACTTGGCAGTAAATTACTTCATTGGTAATGGAAAGCCACTAAATGAAACTCATATGGCTGCTTTTTTATTGTGCCGTTGTGCTAATTTAGGATAAACAATGTGCAAACACATTAATAGTGGATTGGCATGTCTTTGCTTGGGTGTTAATGTGCTGTGTCAATATGGGGAAAATGTAGTTCATGCAAAGCAATTAACATTTAGATCCCTTTTAGAGGCAAGAAGGCATTGTGAGAAACAACTGAACCAAAACATATAAGAAGCAATAGCCCAAAACAGTACTAACTGCAGAAATTATGAAAACCTCTAGAGGGGGTGACAGGGCACAAACTATTGTGGGGTAAAATGTAACATGGATATTTAGTAAATAAGTAGCAGGTTCTTTGTAAACAGGCTCATGTACAATGTGCTTTTGGTGATCTTCTTGTATCCCTATAGCAACCACGTCAATAGTATCAATAGTAGTCCATTTGTTCTACATATATTCCACCACTGAAAAAAAAAATCCCCATTTTTTTGCAATTAAAGCTACCATTTTGGAAAGTGACAATGTCCAAAACAGTCAATTTACATATAAATTGATCAAAAATGTACTATTCATACAATGTAAACAAACTATATTTAATATAATTCAATTTTATCATGCTGTTATTTGCTGTTTTACTTTGTGATCAAAAATAAATGTGCCATATTTGATCCACTCTCTTATCAGTAATCACTGGTTTTGATGAATATATGTTTTATCCATTTATGTTGGAAATCTTGCCTAGCACAAACAACATAGAACTATAATGAATTAATTATGTTTTGCTGGCAAAATATTTGTGCTTGTGCTTCTTGATCTTAATCCTGCATTTGATACTGTTGACATTCTTTTATACAGACTGGAAAACTGGGTAGGGCCTTCTGACCTGTGGCGTCCCACAAGGATCCATTCTTGGACCTCTACTGTTCAATCTTTATATGCTACCACTGGGCCAGATCCTTAAAAATAATATCTTGCCATTGCTTTGCGACAGCACCCAGATCTACTCAGCTTTTTCGCCAGATGACTTTCGTCCCATTGACTCTACTCCAATCTTTAAGTCACTGAATTGGCTACCAATTAACTACAGAATTGACTTTAAAGTACTTCTAATTGAAAACACATCACTGAATGGTCTTTGACCAAATACATTGCTGCTGTATACAAACCCAATAGGCCTCTCTGATCACTAGAGACCAGTCAGTTAGTAGGGCCCAGCATTAGAACCAAACAGGGCCAACTGCTGAAACAAACACCCAGATGCGGTCAGATATGCTCCAAATGTAGTCATTTTTAATTCCAGTTTGAAGACGTTCCTGTTTTCTTGTGCCTTTATAGAGCACTGGACTTCTTGGCACTACTATCTAGGCATTACAGCATTTTTATTTCCTTCAATCCCTTATTTTATTGTCTTTTAACTCTTCAATGCACTTTAGTTTTCAATTTTTGTACAACTTGCCTGTTACAACTTGCCCCAATCTGCTACAATTAACCCCACATTGTTCACAAATAGTAGGTGCTGGGAACAAAGGTTATGTTTTGATTTGTAGCAGACATGTGTAGGTTGCTTAAATACTTAAATAAAATCATTAAGCAAAAACAAAAATGTGTTAGATTGTGCCCTGCACTCCCTCACACATTTATAAAAGCACAATGTATGTCATTAAGTCTATCAAACTATAATTTACCACTTAAGCATTAGCTTAACACTCTGTGTAAGCCTCCTTTGTAATTATGAAGTTCTTTGAACCTGATCTGTATAAATGGACTGTAAAAATTAGCAGGGGACTTATGTAAGGCCTTCTACAATTAAACAACCCAAACAAAAATGAAATGTGGGAAAAAAGCTACAAAAAAGAAATAGAACAGAAAAATAATACTTGTTTAGTAGAAAAAGAAAAAACGGCCTAGTGCTACAAAGCCACAACCTGATAAACCTTCACAAATTCACACCTGTTATATCAAAATAAGCATATCTTAGACCACCTTAAAACTAAAGTACCTTTTTCTTAAAAGTGTAGGGGTCAAAGTAGTCCAAGCTACTCCAATGCTGGTAATGTCAATGAGCAGCACTGTTCGAATAGAATAAAAAGAATAAATGTATAAATACTAAATCTGTAGTGCTTAAATGAAGCATGCCATTTCCTTTGTGAGGAGAAAAGAATATACAGTGCTTTCAGTCACATCCCCAGATGTTAACGTTCAGGGGTTAAATTAGCATACTGGGTTGTCTCTGACTAATCCTTTCAAATTAAATATGAATTTCCTCATAAAAAGACAGCATATCTTAGCAAGCTGTAATGTAATCGTGTTAATGAATCTGTTTCATTATTATTTTATCAAAGTCTTATGTCATGTTTAATTGCATTTACATTCTCACTAAGTGGCCTTAGTTCCACATAGAAAATGTGTATGCCATTTCGCTGTAGACTACAACATAAATTGCTGAAATGCTAAACCAATAAAAAAAGGACTAGCAAATAATGCAACAATGATTATATTATTACATGATGTTTTAATAGCAATTTATCTACAAAACTTACTGACATCACTGTATTCTGTCCAAGGAAAGTGCACAGTCACTGAAGCAAAATAACATAGAAAAGTTACAAACAATCATACCATATATGTAAAACGTCCCTCCATGTGGTTTCAGTGCAGAACCATACAAGAAAAATGACTCATTTGTTTTGAGCACAATGGTCTATGTATAAATGGAAATTTGTGAGATATCTGAGTGGATGATTCAATTAGTTTATTACGAATCCATCACTGTTCTTTCTCTTTGCAGCCTTGACTCATGCACAGTCTCGTCTGTGTGTGGATGTGATCTACAGCTGTCTGGACTTTTAGCTGTTAGCTACAGAGTTTAGTTGTCTCATAATCAAGAGAGTTTGGAAGCCGGGCACTGAAGGCCTGGAGAGAGGAGTGGATGCGCACCACTTCATTGGCGGTGAGCTTGAGGCGGTGGCGCAGCAAGCAAGAAAAGAGGTCCAGAGGCTGCTGGCCTGGTGGAGAAAGCCTGTTCACCCGGTCTCGGATCTCCAGCAGCTGCAGCAGGGCTGAGTCCTGCGAGCCCTGCGTGTATGGGTAATCCAGCTGCAGGATCAAATCACGGATAGCCTCCGGGTCGAAATGCATGCTGTAACCAAACACTTGGATGCTGTTGATCTTCATGTATCCCAAGTTCCTTGAAGGGTCAGTCATTTCCAGAGGCTCCAGGTAAACGCTCTCGTTGGTGCTAGTACCTGATGTTTTGATGCGGCTCCTCAGGTAAATGTGAATGGTCTCAAAGAAGGTCTTCCACTTGTTGCCCAGAGTCAAGGTCCAGTTGAAACATTCGAGTGGAAGATCCAACTTAGTGGACTGCCAGTCCGGGAAACTGTTTTCACTTACAGGGATCAACCAGCTCTCTGAGTGACTCCCACCAAAAGGATTGATGAAGAGAGTAAGGGCAGGTTCTAGGGTGCTGTTCTTAGTAAGGCAGATTTGAAGGGAGATCCCCAGGAGCATGTGCACCAGGTTCGATTTGTACTTGTTGCTCTTCAGTGTGAGCAGCATTCTCTTCCTCCATGAGGGGTCGAACCAGCTGTTGAGGCGCATATCATTGCTAATGAAGATGGCGTGGACCTCCAGGCGACGGTCAGCCCTTTGCAGGAGGTACCTTAGCTCCAGGTCCTGCAGGTCAGTCTCAAAACCCAGGTAGTTCTCAGTGGAATCAGCCACCATAGGTCGACAGGCTCCCTGGCTTAGCATGTAGCCAGCATTGCAGCTGCCACAGCGAGTGTGGTTGTCACTGGCACAGGCAGCACAGGCCAGACCCTCTCCTATAGAGCATGGAGTGGGCACCTGGCACGAGTTCTGGTCATATGCACAAATGCAGGTGTGCAACTCCTCGGAGAAGAAGCCCAGCTGGTTGTTTTCTGAGCAGTAGAGTAATGACTGGAAGTAGTTCAGCCAGTATGATCGTGGCCTACATTTGAGGAAAGAGGGGGTGGGATTCAGTAAGCATGTCTCAACATGTCTAAAGTAGAGCTCCAGACCATATGTGTGGCCGTGTGCCAGAGGTAGGTTCTGTCACACAGCAGGGTTGAAGCAAAGGCAGTACAAAATCATTTTTTTTTAAATAATCACAGCAGTCGCATTTGCTTTAGGGAGAAAATTAAAACACCATTGGAGTGCATAATTTACTGTTAATTAAGTAGCCTTATTTTCCAAATTTAGCACTTCCACCTTATTGTGAAGCCAAATTGAGCTTTTGACTCTGCTGTTTACAAAAATAAGCAAACATAAACAAACCATTTAGTCTCTTAACTACATTGTATTACAGAGTTTTTGTTCCTGCATGCAGTGTTCTGTGAGCAGCACTGTGTCTGTCATTCCTGTTGTGCCACAATGTTAAAAAATGACAGAAAGCTACATTGGCAATGACAAATAACAGCATTCATCAGTAGGGCTGGGTACCGAAGATCAGTTTGCCAAAACCACTGATTGAAACATCTCGGTAGTACTGAGTACCAGAAAAAATAGTGCCTATTTCTTGATACTTTGGACAAAAATTACATCTTTACTGAGTCCCTTTTTTTAGATAAAAGGAACGTGGTGTATTTTTTTTAGGTAAAAATCTGGTGCGCACCAGATACTATCAGGTGAGCACTCAATACTATCAAGCCAGTACCATATACTATGTGGTGAGCACACGATACTGTCTGGTGAGCACCATATACTATGTGGTGAGCACCTGATATTATGTGGTGAGCACATAATATCACATAATACCCTGATATTATGTGGTGAGCACACGTGTACTAGGTGTATCTGGTGCTCACTTGATAGTATTGGGTGCTCTCCTGATAGTTTTGGGTGCTCACCGCATAATATTTGGTGCTCACTTGATAGTATTGGGTGCTCTCCTGATCGTATTGGGTGCTCACCACATAGTATCTGGTGGTCACTTGATAGTACTGTGTGCTCTCCAGATAGTATCTGGTGTGCACCAGATTTTTATCTAAACATATATAAATATTTTATATAAATACGCCATGTCCCTTCAGAGGCTCCATTCATTTTAGAAGATTATTAGAACTATTTTAAGAAAAAAGAAGAAGACATTGATGCAAGAGTGGAAACAGGCAGCACATACAAATCTAACGGATGATCACAAAGGTCCAAGTTGTGCTGGTATTTCATAAAAGTTATCCTTACATGAGAACAGTTCCTCATGCAGAAAATACTTTAAACTAGTAGTTTCGAAGTTAGGTAATACATCAAATCTGACGTGTCATACAATCAAAAATGATATTTATTTCTGTCGAGAACGCTGTTTGAAGAGCAGCACTACTCCATCGCTGCCGGAGATTAGAAAGCTTGGTCACAACCATGCACAGCCACAAATATTTTCACTAAGGACATAACAGCAGGTAAGTTATTACTGCACCGCTTTCTGACTTTTGCAAGAGCAAAGTTAACTGCTGTGGCATCTGTCAGCGTGGTAAACACATTTAGATTCAGCTGGCACCAACACTCGCCCTGCTTAGCTAGCCAGCCAGCTGCCGTCTGGTGCTGGATTCATCTATACATACATGCTAAATCACTCTTCACAGGTTTCATAAATCAGCCCTCTTAACTATGATGTTTTGTTTGCATGTTGTAAGTGAGAGCTTTGACCATGTTAGGACCAGTTCATCCCCATCTAATGTGACTGCCCACAGGGAAACCACATTCATTATAGAAGTGATTCACATAGAGGGCCAAGAAGAGGGGAACATGGAATTATTATTAATAAATAATAATTCTTTATTATTGTTTTGTTTGTCACAATTGGTAAAAAGGCATCAAAAAAGTATCAAATTGGTATCTGTATCAAACAAATTCAAACGATACCCAGCCCTATTCATCAGACACATTTCATAGCAGATGACATACTCTAAGCCACAGATTTCCTCACTAATTGTCTAACTACACACTGAGAACTAAACTCCTGAATCAACTCTCCTTGTTCCGTCTGGCTTCAATCCGAGCTGCTATCCGACTGCAGGTTTTGCAGGCATAATTGTCAGCACCGAGAAACTGGCCTGAGGAACCGAAATCCAACATGTACAGCTTGTTTGTGTGAAGCGCTCCAAATGGGGTGTGGAAAAATCTTTCATCTGTTCGCTATCACTCTGAGGCACACTGACAAACATTCCTCTCCACAGTCCATCGAGATTTCAGGCTAAAATACAGGCCACTTTTGCGCACCGGCAGTAATTTAGTTCTAAATTGTGTGGGGAACTCCCTCTACTAATACAGAGACCGAGACATTATCCCATTTCTGAATTAGCCATCAACCTACTCACCAGAGTCTCAATGACAAGATAACGAGGCTGTTGTGCTCACCTTTCGCGTGGTAAGTTGATGAGGGGTTGCTTCTGACACCTCTTGCTCAGACTGAAGAGCTTGTACACAACTCGCTGGGCCCTCCTAAAGAGGCCCTTCATGCTACTCTCCAGCAGCTCATAACGCCGCTGAAACGTGCCATCCAGCAGCCACAAGTGCTGGATCGTAGAGGTGTTGAGGAAGAAGTTCTGAGGCAGCCTCATCAGGAATGTCTTGAACTCATCTGGTGAAAATAAGAGGATAAAAAAAGTTCTCTCTTTCTGAGATCCAGCGAGTTTAAAATAAACAAGGCGCAGAGGGTGATTGTGAGGCAACACTTTCTAGCCATTCCCCACAGCAGCAATAAGGAACAACCATTTCACTCCAGAGCGGCTAAGTATTTTTCTTTCCCCAACACATTCTCTATGGAGACAGCATTTAATTTTAGCTGATGGAGCAGAACACTGAATGTCTTTGATATCCCTCACCAAAGGACACATTTATGATACCTGAGAAACTACTTATGCCTGGCACTTCCTGCACTTTCCTCCAGCTCTTATAACATAAACTGTAAAAGTAATTGCACTCACAGATATTTCAGGAAAGAAAAAAAATGATTGAGTTAAGGGAGGAAAAAAATTGTGATCTATTTTAATTTCATTCCTGCTCCAATGGTCTTTGCAGGGTGACCTAAAAGGCAGTCATATTTAAACATTATGTTAAGTGCTCTCATTCATATGTTGTGGCCAGTCTGATGACCAATGCTGGCCTGATAGTAAAGATATTTTATGGACAGTTCATCTTGCTCGGCACATTGTAAACTACCTGTGTGTTGATTACTTTTTTTCAAAATCCTGCTCCATTCAGATCTTGATTTTTTTTACAGTGTGTGAAATGCATCAGTTCACTAGATGTCATCAGTGTTTACTCAGTCTTGCTCATAAATCACATTATGAAGAATAGGTCATGGCTTAGCAGGTTTAATCGTAAGACTAGATTTATTCGGGTCTTATTTTCTTCACACTCTCCCTGTATAATGTATGGCGTATAAAAGGCATCTCTTACCTGAATCCTTAAACTCTTTGTAGAGGAGTTCCCATGATTCAGAGATCCGAAGGAGGCTCTCTTCCATGGCCTGGATATCCATGTATGGACAGTTGCATTCCGGGAACTTAGGGTCACACTTGCACCAGCAGTCGTTGCCTCGGCAGACAAAGTCTCCTTCTCCGTTGCAGGCAATGTAACTAAGAGCTGCTTGGACAAAGGTATCTTTGAGGTAGTCTGGCAGAATGACCTGCAAACCTTCAATTTCAGATAGCAGAAAAGTCACGTAAACTCAGGGGTCTAACACGGGGGTCACTAATCTTATCCGCAAAGGGCTGGTGTGGCTGCAGGTTTTCATTCCAGCCAAGCAGGAGCACAACTCCTATATCTAACCAACTGTTTGAAGACTGAAACCAATCAGGAATGTTCCTGCTTGATTGGAGTGAAAACCTGCAGCAACACTGGTCCTTGTGGATGAGATTGGTTATCCAAGGCCCATATTCAAAAATCTTCTTAGAGTAGGAATGGTGATCTAGGATCAGATCCCCTTCTTATTTACTATGACTTTACTGAGAGAGATATATACTACATCAGCTTAATCTGAGGATCTTTATGAATATGGGCCCTAATCTAATAAATTAAAATATCAGTATCAGTCAAAAGCTTATTAGACTCTCTGACAGCTAGAGTTTTTCATAATTTACAATGCTGGCATTGTTAAAGGTTCTGTAAATCCATGAAAATTAAAATTAGGTTTGCATTGATATGGCAATTTTGTGCAAATGCTGGTAGAGATTTATAAAATATTGAAAAATGTAGATCTACCTGGATTAGCATTACTAAGAAATATAGCACTTATTTCTTTATTTCTTTAATGCAGACGTTAGCACGGAGCCCTAGGATTCTCAGCCAAATTTCAGCCAAAACTAAACATCTGTCCAATGTTGATTTTTTTTTATCCAATTATCTGCCAATACGATGTTATGATATGATTGTGATATCATTGTGCATCCCTAATGGAAATGTAATGATGTTGCTTATACATTTTTTTCAAGGAAACTAAATCATTTCCTGAATCTCAAGTTCGCAAAATAGCCAGGCTTTTTCTTCAAAACACTCTTATAAATTCAAAACATTCAATCAACATGTTCAGACAGAAAATCACTCAACATATCTTCCAAAAACAGTTTCCAGAGATGTAGCGCCCTTGTGGTTTACTTTGCTTTGATTCCTTTATTTATTTCATCCCATAAAAATACTATGAGATTGAGTATTTTTTTTTCAGGTTGATAAACTATTACGCTCAAGACTTTGATCGTGAAAGTTTGCTAAAGATGCAACTGATGAATAACAAAACTATCTGTCAAATTTGTGTGTGCTCATTTTACAATCAGATTAGACCATACAAAACTCTGATGAATAAGGCCCATCATCTTGCTGAAGAACGAAGAACTGCCCAACTAGCTGTAATCTTGATGGATTGGCACACCTCTCAGCTCTGACAGCTATGCTGGTTGAGAGTTCTGCAGAACTGAAAAAGATCAGCTCTGTCACAAGCAAAGTAAACCATGACACTGCCTTCTCCATGACTGACAGTGGAAACCACACATGCGGAACTGCATACACCATCTCTACATCTAATAAATACACCATAGCTGGGCTTCAAGTGTTGCAGTTTTTGACTTGTTGGTCCATAAGACCAAGTTCCACTTCTCAAACATTCTGGTTTTTTTTCTGGCCCTGGCATGACTCTTACGCTTACTTGATTTTATTTTATTCTTTCAAACAGCCCAGCTTCATGCAATCTCCTCTGACTAGCTGATGGTGAAGAATCTGAGAATTCTTCCAGTAGTATTAAGCTGTGCTTCTATTAAAGAAGCAGTTCACAGACTTGTGGCTCAAATTAACTTCTTCTTTGATGGTGAAGTCCCCTGTGGCCTGCCCACCCTTGTTTGGTCTTCAGGAATACCAGTTTCTGACAGCTTTAGCGACAGCAACTTTCTTTGCTTAACTATGTATCATTTGCTATTTTTGGATTTCCTACATTCTACAGTGAGTTGCTGCCTTGTAACTTGTATTTATAGTAATCCACATTATGTTAATGACTGCTCACACAAGGTTAATTAGGCAACATGGCTGTTGCGTCAAAGCCTTAACATTACAGTTACTTAGCTTCCTTTGTGTTCATTTTTATTTTAAAAACTAAAACTGTTGATAAAATTATTTTGGATTATTTGCTAATTGTTAAACGTGATAAAATATTTAGTTAATTATAGGCAAGTTTATCCAGTTTGAAGCACTGACAGCAGTTTTTGGCAGTAGTGCTCCAACTTTGGGCTTGTTTTGTGTATTGAACTTGTATAATCAGCCAAATAAAGATTTTAGAATTTAATCTTGGAATCAATGAAATGTAAACTGACATCATTTTAGCTTCCTCCGAGCTTCACCTGAGACTGGATTATAAAGACATACAGTGCCCTCAATTACTATTAGGGCAGTGAAGAAAAAAAGCAGTGCTGTATTCTCAACAGCTTTGACTGGTGGAGAAAATGTACATGTGCTTTAAAATTAAAGGGGAATTCTACCGATTTTTTTAATTTCTGCATAATTCAATTGTTGAGATGTATAGAGAGTTTTTATATGTTATGTTGATGATTGTAAAACTGAAAAATGGCATAAATGCCATGGCTACCTTTAAAAAAGACATTTTTCAGGCTAAAACATTTTCAAACTGTTGTAAAACAGTGTCTCAGCAGTGTATTCATAACAGCATATCATAACCATTTTATGGCTTTTAGAAGCATAACATTTTTCAGATGTTTGGTTCCTATAACCCCCACTTTGAACGACATTACATGTCAAACCACTCTCACTTTACATCTTAATCATTTAATTATGCAGACATTTTCAGTGGAATTCCCTTTTAATAAAAGCATTTTTGAGCCTAAGTGTTGGAAAAACACAAGTTAATTTAAGCAGTTTAGTAGCAGCATCAAACCACACATCTCACAATCTTCACTGAGCTTTGTCAGTTTGTGTGTTTGGTAAAATGCAGCCTAACTGAATGAGCTTTGCAGTTGGTTATTTGACAATTTGTTGCCAATTCCACCTGAATTGGTTTGGATGTTTTGTATTTTTGTAGTTCTGGTAACTTTTCTGCTGGTTTTTGTTGTGCTCTGGTTTTCTTTCAGCATCCAAACAGCTTCTCTTTGACCCCGTTTACACCTGGTCACGTCACATGACTAGTGTCTGGATTGTATCCTGATAAGGTTTTAGCCACATGCATTTACACTTGGTAGTCAAATGCATCTCCGGTTAGCCGGACTATGCAAATCCACTCGTTATGCGGCAACTAGTTTCTAATGACTCATTAAATCATCTGCAATTTGTTTTGCACAGTAGTGGCTGTCCATATTGCTATTAAGCATTCGTTTCCTCTGGTCCCTGACCATGTGTGTCCTCCATAATTATCGTACTCAAAGACTCGGAGCATGCACCCAGTGACATACTGCATAGGGAGGAGTTTCAGTTGTACTGGGAGGTTTTGGTTGTCAAATGTGTCTTGGAGAGGCGAATGCATTTACACTACTATTACATGTGGCTCAAATGTGTCTCCTCCTGAAGTGGACTGAGCGAACAGATTTGTATCTGTCATAAATGCGTCTTTGGTGCGTTTACACATGCTTATCTGTTTTGAGCTTATCCAGATATAATCCTGATACTCAAGACACATGAGGTGACCATGTGTAAATGGGGTCTTTGGCTATATTCACATTACAAGCCTCTTTGCTCAAATCAGATGTTTTGCTCAGATACGATCTCTCTGACATGACGGTTCACACTCGTTTAGGTAAGTGACTTAAATCTGTCATTTATGAGAACAAACTGGTGTCCTGAAATGACCTGCATGTGGGCAAACTAATCAGTAACGTCATGTGAATGAATCATGCTTAATGAACAGCAAACTAACATGCAGACCGAGCCTTAGCTACGAAGATAATTAATTAGCTTTCAGCCGTTATTATTAAAGTGAGACGAAGGTGAAACGGGTGAGGTGTTGCTTTTTCACTCTTTACTGGCTTTAACTTCTTTTTGGCGCTGCTGCCATGGTAACGCTAAATGACGGAGCACGCACAGTGGGGAAAAAAAGCACATAAATTCCAATTTGAGTGTTCTCATTAAGGTTGCATGGCCACGAATCGGATATGTATCTGATCTAAGACCACATATGAAAGTGGCTCGGGTCAGATTTGAAAAGATCAGATTTGTGTGTTTACACAGCTCTGAATTCACATTACAAGGTCAAAGTGGCATAAATCTGATGTTTTACTCTAATGTAACTCAGATCTAATGTTTTTAGAGCTGTGTGAACACACAAATCTGATCTAAGACCACATATGAAAGTGGCTCAGGTCAGATTTGAAAAAATCAGATTTTTGTGTTCACACAGCTCTGAAAACATCAGATCTAAGTTACATTAGGGCAAAAAATGTGACTTGTGCCACTTCAACCTGGTAAGGTGAATGTAGTCTTTGTCTCACAAACAGCATTCTTGGTGGATGATCTAGTGATTCCAACAGTAAAGAATATTTAGAATAGTTAATAGATTGCTTTTATTTTGAAAATAACCCACATAAAATATTGTTTTATAATGCTCTTACTTGCATTTTTCATTTGTAAACATAACGAATAGATATGTGCAAAAAGATTAATAAAAATCTGTACCCTATCTTCACATCCATGTTTTATTTTTGATTGCACCTGTTTATATATGCAGCAAAAATAGATTGACAGCTGTTTTGCATTCTTCTAAAAGATATCTTGCCTATTCTGTGCAGCCATGTTCTTGTAAGACATAATAAGGAGCAAATCATTACAATCAGAATGAAACAAAGCATATATAGGAAATTCATACCTTGCAAGTGGACTTTGTTTTCAGGGCTTTGAACCAGCACAGAACTAACAGAATCAAGGTTGTCATAGTTACTGCAACCAAGAGGGCCAGTCCTTGTTTCAGTTACCTGGGCAACAAAAGACAGACCATGGAATTATGGTTTAAACATCCAGACGGGGACAGTGCATTACTCTACTTGGAATACAACATGTAATGTATTTCCCTGAAACGGACCATTTAGCATTGCCAATATGTTTCCATTCTGAATATCTTTGCTGGGAAGAAGAAGAAAAAAGAAGAAAAGTGGTTTGAGGACATCCTGCACTTGCTAAAGCACTAGTGCCAATCACAATGATAGCATGCATGCCATGACAGTCCACTCAAAGATAATCACCTACTTGACTTGAATCACTGCAAAGAGAGATGCTTTCAAACTCATATGTTTTTCCATCTCTTCGTACCGCTGCGAGCACTTAATTGATTATCGTCCTTGTTTGACACATTCTTCTGCATCCATAAAGAAAACATTGTCTGATTTAAAAGAGGCTTTGGGGCTTAAAGACTGCATGACTTTTCGCTGCCGTATTGACTGAGGCATCTCAATTTACCCTTAGCTGGTCTTCTCTTTGCATTTGCAATATGGGATCACGCTCAGCTTTTCTTTTTTTTCCTCTCCTCATCCTTCTCTCTTCATGACACGGTGAAGCATACCTAATTGATTCACATTTTCCTCTTCGTGGTGCTGGCACACTTTTATCAATTCGGTGATCTCTTTCGATTTGGCCTGTCAGATGGTATCTTTTCCAGGCTGACAGTCAGATAAGGTAAGACAAGGCAAGCTCCTGCCACTCCATCACAAACTCACTGAGGAGAGCAGTGGTAGTAACATGGGTGCACTTTCATGCACACACATACGGCGCATAAACCACAGTGTTCCCTTAAAGGATAAAACCTGCTTTGACATTAGATTTCTGACCTTTAGAGGGCCCATATCTCACATTTTTCTTAGTTTATGTTTTCCTTGTATTCCACTTTATGTTATTTGTGTGGCTTCATGTGTCCAAAACAGTCATATTTCATTTTACATGACCATTATCCAAACCTCTGTTTATCTTTAGAATTAAACAGGCTGTGATTTTGAAGGTGATGTTCATAATTTTATTATTGGAGTCTACTAGAATAGATTTACATGCTTGAGTGTTCCAAAAACACATTTTTTTTTGTCATACTGTACATCTCTATCCACCTCTGTCTGAAACACTGTTAGAGCTCATGTGTCCTTAAACCCCTCCTCCTGATGAGCCCAATGTGCTCTGATTGGTCAGCATGCCCACTCTGTTCTGACTGGTCAACCACCAGAGTGGTTCTGGCCTGCTACATGTTCCCCCCCTTGTCTTGCAGTCTGCAGACTTTTGCTATTTTTCCGATAGCATCAGTTCAGCCATGTCAGTTTGAGCCAGAATACAATCCTGAAAGTCAGGTCAGCGTCTTCTCGACATGGTTACAAAACTGAACAAACTCTTCCTGGCCTCCAGTAGTTGCTGTGTGTTGTGTGAGGGCATGCAAAGGTTGCCAGCAGATGTGCAATAAGGTTTGTGTTACAAGATTGTGTCATCTTGTAAAAGAGGAAAAAAGCTGGAGGCGTTTCAGGCAGCTGAGAAAAGTGGTTTATGTGGGAGAGAGTTACTCCCCCTGGCGTGTACTTTGGGCTTTGTGAATTTGCAGACCATTTACATGCACAACAAGCTACATAATGCACTACAGGAAAGAGAAAAAAAAAACAGAAAAGCATAATAGGTCTTCTTTAAGATATGTGTACATGACTTCTGCTCTGACTGGCTGCCCTGTATTGTGCCTCATTCAAAAACAGTCTGAACTGAAACACCCCGTATAACTTCAGCATGAATGGATAGGCTATAGTGCTGTAGGCTGACGAGGTGATATACAGTTTCATGCCAAATCAGACCCTTTATTTATTTCATTTTTAGTCAAAACAGCCATTAAAGTTACTCATTTTGTAGAAGATATAGAAGTTCTGGGGAGATTAGTTGTAATATAGTCCACTTGCATAAGGAAGGAGTAAATCAAAAGAATATAAGTTGAAAAACAGGGGTTTCCAAAACTGAAGTCTCAAAAAAATGATTAAAAACAGAGAGAAAATTGGACTCCTAAAGGCCTGGTAGACCACCAAAACTGTCACCATCAGATCAACAGTGCTTAAAGCTTTCAATCCACAGGTGTTTCTGTCCATCCTTCCACTGTCAAGTAGCTGTCAAAAAGCCGTTACTAAGAAAAGGAAATGGAAAAGGTGCAAAGAAGAAAGTTTGCAAATCAAAGAAAAAAGCTGCTGGTGTTCTTAGAACATTTGACTGACCGTCATAGAGTCCAGACCTCAACATCATTAAATTATTTGTATTGTGAGGAGCAGAAAATGCAACCAACTTCTAAGACTGAACTTTTGTGATGTGGAAAAATATCCCTGCAGATTTCTTTGGAAAACTGCAGGTTTTTCTAATAGAATGGATGCCATAATAAAGGTAAAGGTAGATACTGAAATATATTACATAGTAATTAAGGCTTCTGTGTAATTTTTTGTTAAATAAATGTTTTCTGCTTTAATCCTGACGCTGAAAAATAAATATTATGTACTTAATGGCCATTTTGACAGTAAATTAAATAAAATGAATAGTGGTGTCTGACTTTTGCACAGCACTGTACAATATGTCACAAAAGCGTTGAGTTTAAAACAGACTTTGTTGTATTCTAGTTTCTATACATGGACTTCATGAACAGAGAGTGGATGGTACATTTTGTAATGTGATATTTTTTAAGCTCAATTTCCAGGAATATAAGCTTGTAAAAAAAGACAAGACGCCAAGGTTTGCGACAAACATAGCAAATAGAATCTGCTCAGATCAATATCTGTATGAGTCATTATTTGATGTGTCATATGATGCAGATTATGACAAAGAAAAGTTCACTGAGAAGCATGTTGAGTGTGATATTTTGCCATATTTGCTATGCACATAACAGCTGTTGTTCATACTTATACATATTGGCAAATTGCAAAATGGCTAATGGCAGATTACTGCCCACCTGGACCTGTATGGCAGTCTGCTGTTCCGCCTTAACATGTGGTATCAACAGCTCGTACGTGATTTTCCACACAGAGTGCAGCTGTCTTTGGATAAGATGAATTTCCAGATTTTGGCATTCAAATAATTAGATCTCTTGTGGTGGCTCTGCGTAACCAAACTGCTAAGTAGATCCAGATGTCAAACAGGTTGTCGTCAGGTTGCAAATCTGCCTGATAGAGCTGTTTTGTCTGGCCAGAATATGGTCTCATTATGCACTTTAAAAAATAAAGGTTCCAAGAAACAAGTAATGTCAAAGAACCACTTTGGCTTCCCTAAAGAACCTTTCAATGAGTGGTTATTTAAAGCACCCTTTTTTGTGTGAAGAACATGAATAGTTTCATTCCAAAATTCTGTATATCCATTTGTAACAGTTTTGGACATTACAAGCTTTTGGTCACATATAGGGGAAAACACATTTGCATCTCTCTAATAAAGGTGATATCAGTCATAATATAGCTCTGATATTTCTTGTATATGTAAAGCCCACTCCCAGCAATGTATATCCTAAAAAAATGAAGTTTTTTAAGTGGTCTATAATGCATTTTGGAACAAAACCCTTTATATTAACAGCTTAAAGTACTTCGTCTCTTTACCCCTTTAGGGTCTTTTTTTCCTACAGCAAGCAAAGAATAAGGAAGCCTCTTTAAGACTCTGCTCAGATCCTACATACTAAGATTGAGTAAAGCTAACAATGTATAACCCATTTTGCATTTTCATTTGTAAAGCCGACTATGATTTGAAAACCAATTTTCGGATTTACCGCCGACTGTTTTCTTTAAGAAAGTCTGCAAAAGCAATACTGAAGCCTAAACAAAGTAATGTTTTTTTTTTTTAAAGGCAAATCAACAAAGCAGTGGGATTGCACGCCTGCTGTTTAGAAGTTCTGCCACAGTTTGCATTCCAGTAGACACCGAGGTTACGCCTTCACTGGCAGATTTGCAGGGTAGCAGGGCTGTCTGAGCGCTGATTTCGATTTGGGAAATTGTCAAATCATGAACAAAACGATCCCTGCTACTCACAAAAACAGCTTGAGTCATTCTGCATTAAGCAAACACCCTGTGCAGAAGTACGTGGGTGGGATGCATCCTGACTTTTTGAAGGGTCTTGCTGTTTTTTTGTTTTTTTTCCGAGCCCCTGAGGCCCAGCGCACCAGCTCACTAACAGGCTTTTCCTCCAAAATGAGTTGCTAAATTTCTCCTCCACAGAGCCCAGCAGGGAATGCTGGGAGCCTCATCCTGCACTCTAGTTTCATTCAATTTGGAATTCATACAGCAGAACGTTCACTTCTGTCTGTCCCGTGAAACGCAGGCATGGGTCAACGCCCTGTGGAAATGATGCGTGCATCAGAGGCTCCTGCGATTCATTCTCCTCCACTGATGGAGCTGCACCGCCCTGCCTCACAGGCTGCTCCCGTCACTCAGCGAACACCCCGGCTTTCTCACACGAAAGCGCACCTCAGCGAGACGAGCAACCTTCAATGATCAACAGACAAACACTCGCCGACAGCCGAGATCTGCTCTCCCAACTATAATGAAAATGTCTAAGTTCCACAGCAGTGGTGTGCTGAGACAAGGCGCTCCTGTATGTAATGAAATCAAAGGGGATAATGAAGGTTTTGGCCTGGAACAAGAGCATCACTCTTAAAGCTGCTAGGATAGAGTAAATGCAGCTATATAGAATGCTTGGGCAATTTGCCTGGCTATAGTATTAGAGTAGGCTGCAGGGAGGTACTTAGAGAACACATCTAATAAACAGAATTCTATTTAAAAAAAGTGTATGAAAGTATATTAAATCCTGTCAGAATGAATGTGGACCTCTGACATATACAAAAACACAGTGCCCAAATCCTTAATTGGGGCATAACGTCATTTGTCTATTGAAATATGTTTGCATTGACTGGCCAGATTTAAAATGAGAAAATGTCAGAATACATAATATATGTGAGCGATGAATTGTGAGGCCACATATTTAAAAATAAGCCAATAAAAATGTAAAAAAGAAATTAGAATAAGGATATTACGAGGCATTCACATTTGATACAGTCCACTGGGAGATATATGTTGCAAATCTAATACCATTTTAGAATGCTTGTGACTAGAGATGCACTCTTCCTACCTATACCAATACCTGATGCCAACTCTGTCTAACCTAACTACTCAATAGGTACCTATATTCAAATATTTTATGTTGATAAAAGCAGTGTTCTGTGCCACAGACTGAATTAATGGCATTTAGGCTGGCTTTTTACAGTGAAACTTTTAATGCAACCTTAGTGGCTTGAAACCTGCATGAAAATGTATGTAAATATATGTAATGTAAAGCTTCCTGGAACTCATTTTAAACTCAGCCACAGCAGTTGCAAGTGTCTTAACTTAATGGAACAAGTTTAATGGAACAGCCAATCAAAACGGCAATAACATATCATGTGATCATGTCAAATGACATACTTTCAAACCACTAATTTCTCTGACAACAGACCCCCCGCCCAACTGACACAAGGTACTGAATGTGTTGCATGCAACTGTTTTTTTTTTATTGCTTCATGTAACTGTCAAGTTGCATGGAAATTATGTTGCAGGCAACTCACAACATGCAACTATTTAAATGAAGGTTTCACTGTGTAAAGCCAGCCTTACTGGTTGGATAGCTTCACATTTGGTTTCAGAACTACTGCCGTGCTCTTTGGTATGGTTTATCCTTAATCACTATATTGAATTTGAGGTATTGAGCCCCTCAAAACACTGGCATTATAGATTTTGCAATGAGCATTTTTACTGCTGCTTGTCTCAAGTGTGAAAAAATCTTAAACTACTTGCTTCAGAAATTGCTTCATGGCATGTATACATATGCTCCATTGCTGATATTGATACTATATTTAAGTGTCAGTATCAGGGCCGATACAGATATGGTATTGTTATGGGTGCAACACCACAAGTTAGTCAAATGCTGGTTGCCAAAACCTGCTTCATTAATCCAATACAAAATGGTAGAAGTTCTCGTTTTCCACTCATAAGATGCTGCATATAACATAGTAATATGTGTGCTGGTCTGACATAAGTGGTCCAGAGAAATATGATATCTCCTCACAGTGAGACATGACTAATGGCCCACCTTGATGGCAGTGGAGGCGATCTGGAGGTGGTGCAGCTTGCGCAGTGTGCTCTCTCGGTCTATGAAGTAGGAGGCAGCCAGCTGGTGAAGCGCCTCCAGAGTCACAGCCGTGCTGTTGCTGGTATAGTCGCTCACCTCTGCCTTCTTACTCAGCTTCCTCTTGTCCACAAATATGGTGAGAGCCTCCTCTCCTGAATAAGTGAAGAGGAAATGACTGAAATTACCCAAGCTGTTCTTACTGACTATTACAGCATTTACAAGGCAGATGAGCAGTGCTGGTTCATTTTCTTGTAAATGTGATTGGAGTAAAAGCGTACTTTATTTGTAAGAGCCCCAGACTCAAATTACTGATGGCAATATTGTGACTGAAGGAATTTGAGTTGCTTTTTTGTTTAAATTTGTCATATGAATTGGTGGTTGGCTGGTTTTACATTATAATAATTTTGATAGATATACTGATGCATATTGGCTAGTAAGACTACATGTTCACTTACCTACTAATACTTATAACCAATAATAAATATTGAGTGTTCAGTATTCAAGCACATTCGCACATTCCTGTATGTCTGTGTGCAATTCTTTATTATACATCATGGTAATTATGTTCGCTGTTCTCATACTGTACGCATTTAATTGTTGCATATAATCAGTTTTACACTTCCATTTAGAAGCTGCCATAAATGCAAATGGAAGTGTGCACAATAAATGTGCCCACAATGTGCATAACTTAACATTCGATGTACTAAGACTGCAGTGTTCATGCAAGCTGCACGTGGCCCCACCAACTAACTACGTGCTCATGAGGTGCAGGGTTTAAAAGGTGCAGTGAAACCTTCAACAAACTCAAGGCAAAAAAGTTGAGGGGACCGAAAGGATAGGGGTATTATTAAATAATGTGTTTTCCCATCAAAACATTCTCCAGAGGTATAAATCACCTTTGGCAAATAAAACAGAGTTTGTGAAAGATCACATGGACTGCGTGCGCATATTGTGGCCTCATTACAGCCCACGGCCCATAAACCGAGGATTTAGGCTGGTATGGCAGTTCTGTACATAACACGCCGGCAGAATGCCTCTGCAAAAAGGCTTAGTCCACTGGGTCCTGAATGTTCTCTTAAATAAAAATAACTTGTATTGTTGTGATGCTGCTGTCACTACAGTAATTCCTTTTTCATTAAACTCTTAACTGTAGTTGATAGTATTTCCATTCCCCACATCGATCACTGTTATATTATTTACCTCATGAAGGCCATAAGCTCCAATCTAGACTCAGGCATTCAATTTATATCTAAGAAATATCTCCGGCACGAGGCACGGACATGACTCTTCGCTTTCGCATTTCTTACAGTACAAAATATTGTTTGTTTACTGGAACAGTGGAGGTCACATCAGTTGCAAACCTCCATGAGTTTTGCATTACATGGAGCCACTTGTAAGTGCAGCCTTTGACAGGCAGAGAGCAGGGAGGAGTAATCGACAAGTATGGCTTTTGCAGAGGAAACCCATTTCAGACATCATCCTGGGCTTTTTTTTACAGAAATAATCATGTCACTGTTATTCTGAAGCTATCTAGCTGCACCTGCCTCCCACTTACCACTATACACTAGAGTAAATATAGGACCACGGGAATCAGTGCTTGTCACCAGTCATTTTCCCTGGTTTGACATACTACCAGCTGCAGTGGAAATATGCGTGAGCACTAGTGTTCTATATGGGAGTTAGACAGCTTTTGTTGTTTTGCAACAGAAAGTACACATATGGCAGACAGTACTCAAACTCGATTGGAACCGGCTGGAATGATACAACACATAAATATACAATATATATTTCTCTTCTATCTTCCTAAAAAAAGATATCTTGGCAAGTGAAAACATCTTAAATGTAGGCAAGATATCTATTATTTCTTTTTAGAATGTCATAAGATTATTCAACCTACTTTTTTGACACTTTCACTTATGTTAAGTCTTATCCTGTGAAGCTGTAACAGATTTTTGCTTTTTTTATGAACTAATGCTAGAAGAGAGCAAAATTGCCTCATCCATGCTCCGCCCACAAGTGTGTCTGTTGTGAAGTTGGACGAGCTTTACAGAATGCTGATAAAAATCCAATTCAAACTGACGAATCAAGGCTGGAGTTTAGATGCGCTCCATACTATTGAGCTCCCAGTTTAAAATGCTACGCTACTGAGCTGGACTGTGTTGTTGTAGCTATTTGAAACTATGCAGGTTGAAAATTTAACACTAAGCTAATATGAGCTCAATGGTACAAAACTACAGCCTATCCTAAAAGTGTGACCCTTCAAACTCATACAAAAAATAAATATAACTAGAAATGAAGGATTCACTCTAAATATCTGTATTTTTACAAAAAATGATGTACAATTTCTCATTACAACCAGCAAACCAACTGTGTAACAGTTGTTGAGGAAGAACACATTTGTGGGCATAGACTGGATTAGTCAGAGTGATTCATAACAAAACCTCAATGATAACTTAACAGGACAAGAATTGTTACTAAAAAGATTTCATTCTTAATATTTTCTATTGGTCAAGTGGTGCAAAAAAGGATAAGGATATGCAAGATTCCAGTGATAAAGTAAGTAAAAGTGTCTAGAATTGAGTGCTATAGTCTTCTGTGTTCTAACCTTTTATATTATTTTCACTTGCTAAGATATCTTTTTTTTTGCAGTGGACATTTCGTTTGGCAAGCACAGCAGTAGTCTGTAAGATACGGCTACCTCCTAGTGTAGCTGAGAGAAGAAAATGAGTCCCATATTTCTTGATCAGGTTGTCAGTAATTAGCTGGGCGGAGGGTCTTCGCCCCAGGAGTCGAATGTTCCGAATAAACTCAGGGGTGAGAGGTAAAGGGGAGTCCAGGAAATCCCTCCGCTCCACAGCCAGGTTATTCACTTTCCAGCGGCCAAACTCCCTGCAAGAGGATCACACATACAATAAACATGGCTGGCTCTAATGATCTGTTTTTATTACAACACCTCAGCTCCTGCAAGGGAGCAGGACCACATGAGTCCAACAGGGCAGACATAAATAGTGCAAAGACTGCATCATTAGTCTTAAATTCTAAGAGCAGGTAGGCATTTGGAAGACGAACACTACAGAGAGGAAATCGATTCTGGAGATGCTGCTGACAGGTGCAAGGCTTGATAAGCACATCATAGTGGAATCTGCACTGACAGGAAGACCCACAGAAGTCTGCTGAGTGGTGACATCTGCTGTGTTTTATATTGGTAAAAATAAAGAGGAAATATTGCTTAAATTTCCCAGAAAAGCCTTGCAGAAGAAAAAAGAGCCATGGCTCAATTTTCAGAAAAATGGTCATCATAGATTTTCCTCGACGGAAATATCCACCGCGAAACCAATTAGATATGTTTATTCTGAAATAGGTACACTACCTCTGACAGAAATGATTTAGCAACTTTTGAAGTCAGGGTCATAAATAAGTTTCTCAGCTTTTTTCTTATTACGGGCCGCATCAAATTGTCTGCATGAAGACACAATTTGCATACAGTTTGAGGCAATTAAATAAGCAGGCCTTTCTGTCACCACCTTCCTCAGCGCTTTCCTACTTATTACTCTCTCTCACCTCTCTCCGTCATGTGCCTTTGAAAGCAGTAATCCACAAATCAAAGGAGATACTACCATCCACAGAGGGCTTCGCTGATAATACCTCCCCGCTGTGAAACTCGCACATCCTCGGAAACACTCGCCAATGATAGCATGCTCCCTCTTGCCTTTAGTCATCTGAGAAATGGTGGGCAACCTCATAGTCGGTTGATGGATGGAGTTGGTGTGGCCTTATGAAAGGGGATCTATCACATTAAATCAGAAGTAATGACAGGGGCCTCGCGACCAGATGTTTGATTGATTCATTCCAGAAAATACTTTTAATTCCATCTGCTGTTTGGCAATTCATAAGGGGTAAAAAAGAATTATGGGGAAATTAGGTTAAGAATAAAGTGCGTACTATGGCCTACAGTGTGGCCCAAGCTGTTTTTGTTGGACATAAGTCAGGCATAATTTCCAGTAATTTCATAAGCTGTAAATTTAACCGCTGTGAAACAGTCAATGTACCTGGCACGAGCCATTACATCAGTCAAGACTGGGTGAACTGCTGGCTTTGTGAAATTTGATGATTTATCTCAATTTCACGTAGATAAGCCACACCCTCAGCAGGCCTTGGCAGATGTGTGGGAGCCGTTAGCGAGCAAGCCCTCAGCAGTTCAAAGGTTTGCTGGAACAGAGAGGTAGAGGGAGAAAATCCTCCCTGTCATTCTGTTCCTCAGTTACCGCTGAGCATGATAAGCTCGCCTTGTCTTATCTTAAACCCTCACGAGGCCTTGTGGCACTGACCCCAGCAGGGAAAGAGAGCAGTTTATTGGCTACACTGTGAGGCTCTTCCTGGAGCTTTAGATGAGCTACATGAGATGGTTCCTATCATAAATATCATCAGTCTCAACTTCTGGGCAAAACAAAGACCCGCTGACTCCTCTACACTTGTAGACAGAAAGGTTCTTGCCTTTACATTGTGCAAAAAGCTTCTTCACACTCACACAATACAACCTTCTTTACGTGAACTTAACTGAATTATCGACAGTTTGTCGAACCTGATTTACTGGTGTTTGAATTTATGTTGGTCCAACTTATTAGAGTTGTTTTAAAAGTGGTCACTGTAATGTCCAGTCAGTTTAGAACCAAACTAGAAAAAAAGAATATGGTAACACAATAACAAGGCTAAGCAATTAATGGAAATATAGAATGTAAGAATGTCCCCTAGGGAAGTTAGACAAGGAGTAAAGACAATTCAGAGAAGAAAGACACGCCCGATATGCAAATAGACGGAGCCCAGAGCCAAAAAAATTTTGTCTCCTATGCCAATCTCTCCAGTTGCTAATGGCAACAGACTAGACTAAATTTCACTACGCTGAATCAAATCAAAGATCCTACTTGAACACATACAAGCATCAAAAAAGTTCCCCTAACTTATAATAAGTGGTAATCTGGCATAAAATCTATTTTAAGTATAACAAATTTTTTTTAAGTGTGTGTCTTGTGATAGCAAGTGGCAATCCCATGAGACTTGGAAAAACTCAATTCATTCTGTTTTATTTGACTTGGGCTGGTTTAACGCTTGGGACAGTTACAAAAGCCAATTCAATGTTTTTTGAGCTACGAAAAGAAACATTTTTACAGCCACAGAGAGGCTACTTGCTTTGTTTTCTGCTGGTCTCTCACCAAAGCCTGCTCTTGCTGAAGATCAAAAAGGCATCAAAGAGCTTAGAGTTCAGCTTTTGTCCGTTCTTTGAGAGGAGAAAGATTAAAAAGATTAAGAAACTCTTGTAAGCGCAAGTGTCATAAAAAAAGAGGTAGCATTTTACGACGTGACCTTTTAAAAGCAATTTGGAACGAAATTCCCCACTTATGTTATCCAGAGAACTGCAGATATTTTATCTCCTTGTGCATCTGTGTCTATGGCAACAGTCCTTTGGCAGTGGGTCAATTAAGCAGGTGGCGCACCGAAACCTCATCTTTGTCTGGTATGGACGTTGCATCTTTTCTCCAGCAAACACTCTTCATGGTGAATCCCCTCAAATGAGAAGAGCCATTTCTGAGAAAGAGCTCATTAAAATTCTTTCAAATTCAATCAGGAGGAAAGGTGGAAAATTGAAGGAGGGATGAGATGGTGCACTTCCATTACGCGGACATTGCTATTACACACCACTGTAACTACTTCTGGTAATTCATCTTCTCTGTGTCATTGAAGATTATTAAAATTTGGCAGAACAACAACGCCACGCTTGGAGGAAAATACCGGCATCGAAAATAATATTGTCACTTTTAATCTTTTCAGGTCTGTGGTGGGCTGAAATTGTTTGTTATAGGCAAGTGAACGGAGCGGGTAAGAGTGAGGTGGTTTGAGTTAGAACAGTGTGTGCTCCGAGAATGTGCCATAGAAGCAGAGAAGAATCCACAGTGGCGTTGAGAGATCACGTCTTAGCGTTTCATAAGCACAACATGACACTTCTCATACAGAGACACTAAGCTGTAATACCATTATCATGTATCCCTTTCTGCTTCATCTGGCCACACTTTGCGCACACACTGAAATGGGCTGACACACAGAGAGATCAAGCAAATAATTTGGGATTTGACTGTCTTTGATAGCCTGTCTCAACGCCAGCAGGCGAAGGCCCAGTCACGCGATGCTCTCCTTGGGACTTTAATGGTGAACAGAACACAAATATGAGTGCCAGCCCTTATATTTTGAAGTGCAAAGAGAGTTCAGCTCGTAACGGCACTCGCTTACTCTATGGATTATCTGTACCTTATGTCCCTTTAGTGTCGTGTAATAGATAAAAATCTGACCAATCAGAGTGGATATTGAGCATGACTAATGTGAGTTTGACTTTTGGAGGGATAAAACACAGCTGGTGCTCATGCGAGTCCTGCATGCTGATATAATATCACTATTCAATCAAGGAATGATTGTAATCTTCCCTGTCTGTACCACGCCTTGCTACCAACAGTAGCCTCTCAAGGGAATCGTGATAATGCCGAGTAATAAGTATTAAGAACCTACTAATCACTCGGTCATATGATAAGGCTATTAATCTTGCAAAGTACGCAATGAAAATCTGATGTACAGTAGTTGCCAGCTAACAAAAGAAAATCAAAATGTTTTAATGGTGAGCCAATCGCAGGCGCCGTAAAGTAGCTCCCACAAATCCATAGCTGTCAACTGAAGCTGCTGTGACCGGAGGAATATTCAATATCCGTCCCTGCAACGCAGGATGTGATTTATGATGCGCTGCCACTAATTTAAGTGCCAAAGTGTACGTTCGTGTTCTAACAAATCATCCATTTCGCCATGCGCAAGTCAACACATTTTTATCTGTTCACAAAATAGAATATTCATGTTGCTGCAAGGCTCAGATATGAATGATGCATAAATGTGGGAGACATGCTGAAAAATGGTAAATCGTTAACAATGCGAAAACAGTAAAAGTGACTACAGGGGGAGATCAATTCCCCTTACATTATTAGATAGGACGAGAAATATGTTTGGCATATACTTAGTTAGAGCAATATCCTTTTAAATGGTAAGGACTTCAAATCTGATATGCGCTATTATAAGCCACTTAAGTGTGTATGAGTGATGAGCGTGCTCTTGTGTGCACTTGTGTCTGTGATGTTCTTTAATGTTGATCAGTGAGTCTGATTAGGGGTTATGTGTGATTTTGACTGAACTCAGCTTGAGTGCATGTTTATATGTTATCAGATCATAACAGAATTCATGATGCATTCTAATAAGGCAATCAGGCATGATGTCATGCATTACTGTGATTTTATTTTAAGAGGTTTTCTTAGGCACAAAGCAAAGTGGAGTAACTGCCTTATCTCTCGTATAGAAAAATATATGCATATTTTTGCTCAGTTTAAAAATATATGTAGCAAATATATTTAACTGTGAATATTTAAATGCCAATGTATGCACATATATTTCAATGTGTTCATATACATATATATATACATACACATATATAAATGTCAAACATATATGGAACTATATTTTATAGTTCCATTAACTAATACCAACCACAACAGAATTATCCCACTGAGAAATGTATTTTTTTACAGTGTCATCACTGCAGGAACAAAATCTCAACAAGTCATTTTGGACTATTTCTATTGAACCATTTGTCAGGAAGTTTAGATAAACTATAAACAGCAACATATGCTGTTGTTCCCAAACACCTATGGACTGCTGAAAGAGGACAGAAACTGCCTGTCGTTCATCATTGTACAACACCAATAACAGAAACCTTCATCTTGTCTTTTTGCTTCAAAAAATTACTACTGCACCAAAAAGGCTAATTTCTGCTAGCACCTCAATACAATTTCCTGTGTTGTGTT